GTGTGTGTGTGTGTGTGTGTGTGTGTGTTATTAAAAAACAATTGTTCATAAGATTCTAAAGTTGTTTAACTATGTTATTAAAACAATATACTAATTGTTTTTAAAGAAATATTTTTATGAGATACAAAAGAAAAATATAATATTGATGTTAAATTACATAACTTGAAACAATTGTTTATAATTATGTAATTTATATTTATTGTGAATTATTATTAGTTAGTTTTAGCAATAACTATTATATAATATAATAGAAACAACATGATAACACTCATTAAGATGTATTAATGTGAGAAGTAAAAAATATTAATGACAAATTTTGTAACCGAAAATAGAGGAAAAAATTTAGAAATTTTATTAAATGTTTTATTAAATGCTACATGTCTAGCTCATAATCATGAAAATTTTCTTTCGTTCACGTGAGGCTATTTTGGTAGAGGACACATTTGTACGACTGATACATGTCCTCCATTAAAATTTTATGAGAAATAGAGTCCACAAAAAAATTCAAAAGAAACTATACACTTATCATCAAGCAATTAATAAATCTAAGAAAATATCTCTAATTGGCACGTTTTTTGGCCCACTTTTTATATTTTTTTCCCCTACAATCCAATGGATAGTAACAGTTTTGCTATGGAACCATCGGATGGCTCGGCTTATGGAGCAATATACACTTATTCACCAATAGTGTATTGACACGTGTACTACAATAAATACAATTTGGACATGTTTCAATATATTAAGTTATGGATAGCTCCATAAGAAAACAATCTGATTACTCCATAGAATTTTTGTGGATAGTAATTACACCAAGTTGCCACATTTTTGCATTTATAAGGAGGCAAAGCAACTAAGTTTTTTATAACAATTGACACAATAAAATTTCAAAAGATAAAAGGAAATTAGGCCATGGGAGGAGTTAACAAGAGCCTCAACTTTAGTCTCCTTATCCTATTCTCCATCTCCTTGGCCATCTTCACAAGTGTAAGCTACTCTTGCTAACTATGTTTGCTTCTTGATTGTCTTCTATTTTTCTCCACACAAAATTTCGGTTCGTGTCCGAAGATTTCTCCGAAACTATAGTTCGAAACTTTCTTACACATTTATAAATGAGAAATTTTCCTTGTAAGTTAGGGAGATGTGGTGATCATGAGTATGTACTCAGCAATGTAATGATTAAATTTGATTAAATGTGACACGATATGAAAATAACGATTGTACGTACTCAGGCTGATGAGCCCGAGTGTATATACGGCGTATACGTGCAAACGGGCTCGATCAGGCAGGCCGGGACCCACTCCAGGATAAGCCTAAGCCTATTTGACGCGTCCGGAGCCCAAGTTGTGGTCCCCAATCTCGAAGATTGGGGCCTCATGGGCCCGGGCTACAACTACTTCGAGACTGGGTACCTGGACCTCTTCGGAGGGAAAGGCCCGTGCCTGAATGGGCCTGTTTGTGGACTGAACCTCACTTCGGATGGGTCCGGCCCATACCACGCGTGGTACTGCGACTATGTGGAGGTGACCACATTTGGAGTCCAAAAGCAGTGCTCTGAGCAGCATTTCGCGGTGGAGCAGTGGCTGTCGACCGATCGGGAGCCTTATGAGTTGACGGCCATCACGAACAATTGCTTATCTAAAGGCGGTTATCGAGGGGCCCACAAGAGTGGTTCGAGCTCGGCTAGGTTTTAGGTACTAATTATATATCGACTGGGTCGGGTCGAGATTGTGTTGATGAATGATGATGTTTTAGTTGTTTTGTTTGATGGGCATGTGTTTTTGTATGACGTACTTGTTCGTGAGTTCATGGATTGGAGTTTTATAATGGATTAATAAGGTATAATAAAATCCCTAGCGAATTTGAATAATGTTCAGTTGGTTATGAAGTTCATTTTAATTTTTATCGGATTAAAAAAATGTCCGATGAGATCGATGCCCTAACCGGTAGGGAGGTATTTCGGGGTTCGAATCAACTGAGCCGTTCACCGACCAGTCGGCTCAGGACTCGGGAGGCAGATGGTATAAGGCGCTTCAATTCATATATATGTAACTAGAGGAAAGGCTGTTGTGCACAGCACGACCGGCCCACGGTATATTTTACAATTTTTCAAAAGACTTGATAAATGCTAATATTTACAACATAAGTACATGTATAGAACAAATATGTGTCACCTGACTATTATGCTTATACTGAAAGGCAAAGAGAAAAAAAATCATAAATTAAATTTAAACATGACTCCATAAAGAATGCTTAGGCATAATTAGTACAAATCATTTTACAATAGCTTTTTCCCAATCTAGACAAGTTAACAACTGCTACTACTACCGATCCCAATAAAATGTAAATGCTACTAAAACACAAGTAATTGCTATAAAAATAAAAATTAAAAAAAATGCCAGCTTTTAATACCAATTACATAAAAAACTTTCAGTTCAAAGAAATCAAATTAACAACTTATTAGTGTTCAACGGTGTAAATACTGCTTGAAATTAAAAAAATAAAATAAAAAAAAAATAAAAAAATAATAATAAATTGGTGTCAAAATCCCTGAAGTCTACCTTATGTGGAAGGAGATAGAGCTATGGGTATAACGGAGAAAGAAAGCGCAGCACACAAAATGGCCGACTCCTAACCTAAGGGCAAAAAGGTCATCGCAACTTAAAAAATGCGACGTGTCAAAAAAAGAGAGGTCGGGTGTCAATTAAAATGTAATAGAATGCTACAGTGTCCAACTGCTTTATATTATTCCACACTGAGTTTTTTGTTTGGTGAGGCGGCCTTCTCATCAGTCAAATCATTGACCTCATCATCGTCGCTCTTTGCAGCAGTCTTGAGTTTTAATGGGCCAAGCTTCGCATCGAGATCCTTAACTGCAAAGGTTAGGGATCGTGCATCACGAGCTGCTGCTAGCTTTTCAGGAGAAGCTAACTGCAATAAATAAATTTCATGAAGGTAATTCACAAATGAAGTGGGATGATAGCAGTATTAACAAACACAATGCAAATATTACATTTATCAGAGGCAAGGCAGGTGGTAAGAAAAATACTTAATGATAGCTTAAGTTGCCAATAAAGGTACATTTTATGAGAACATATATAATCCTGAAGCATCACATTAAAATGTGTACATTTTCTTTACGTGGACTGTTTGTGTTAAAAAGCATTTCCTTAAATATAATAAACTACTCCGATTCTAGCCTCTGGATGGGTTGAGTATGTATACTATCACTATTAAGCATGGTATGACCGCAGACGAAAATATTCAGACTGGTAAAACAAAGATTTATGAGCAAATAAAGTGTAAACCCATGCAAGACATTTTCCCATGGAAAAACAAAATCAGAACTATATTTTCTTTATTCAATTTAGCCATTACCTCTGAAAAAAGTAATCTATATTAATTTTGAAACTTTTCTACGATTCAGCGCACTCAAAATCACAACCACACTGAAGTATTGATCACAAGTTAGGAAACTTGGTGCAATCGACAGACTTAGTTTTACTAATGAAATTCCTAAAAGCCACTGCACAACAATTGTACTCACTGAATAACACAGACAAGTTATCTCTAATTAAAAAGGACTTGCCTTGGTAAGTTCTTCAACTCTTTCCTTGAGATCTTCTGTTTTTGCTTCCTTGTAAAAAAGCTGCAGAATGCATATCAAGTGAACTTCGAGACTCTCCGACCGATGCTGCTCGATTGTACACTGAGGAACGGAGGAGTGACAACCAACTGAATAAAAGGGGCATTTTACCAGCTTCATAGGGCACACAGTTATACAGTGCCTATCCATGTCGCGCCTCATTATACTCTCCGAGCAGTTCTGCTCACATTGAATTATCTTGAAGGGACACGTCTGGTCGTGTTGCTCCATCTGAGCAGCACTAAACCTAAAATTACACCCCTCGTTCAGGCAGTTTATGGTCCTGAAATTACAAGTTAACTTGTGTGCCTCCAATTCTTCTTCAGATTTAAAGCTCAAGCTACAGTGATACATGTTCTTGAAATCTGCATTTTTCAGAATAGTCTGAGCTACAGATTCCCTCCGGTTAAGTAACCAAAAACCACCAATCTCCATTTCCTGTGAAAAATCATCTATTCTGTCTTCCCTTCTTTCACTCAGCAACCATCCCGAAACCCGGCTGAAAAAATTCCTCTTCGAACTCGCAAAATCGTCTATAAAGTCGGAGATTATATCATAAGGGTCCTCGGGAAGCTCAATGTTCGGGCCACCTTCTAACACCACGGACTCAGCCACAAAATTTTCACTCCTTTGGGTAAGATAGTCGACCATCTCCCTTCGTATGTCTACTGCCACGGAAGCCGGGCTCCGGAAAAGGCCTCCGGTCGTGTTGTCGACACATGCAGAGGCCAATCCAGGGAGGAACTCCTCGGCTATTTTGTGTACAATGTCCGCATCGTAAAGGTCACAGTGGAACGAAGCCCCTCCCTCCTTTTCTTCCTCGAGCTTCTCGGGTGTCAATTCAGTGTCATCAGCTGGGGGATTCATACTGCACAATAAAATTAAGAATTACGTATAAATTGTATGATCATGACCAAAATGCACAATTCTTGGCAGACAAGTTCGTATCAAAATTTGCTATGATTTTCAAACACAAAAGAAGCATTTGTGACGCTGACAGTAAACAAAACAGCAGTGAATGCGTGCAACAGAAAACACATTATAAATTTCATCTTCAAATCGCAATCAGATCAAGCAATATCAAGCAATATGACCAAATAAAAACACTATTTCATTAAAGGAGTTGGTTAAGTGAATGTTCACAATTCAAAATAGATTAAGTGCATGTTCACAATTCATAATACCAGCTGCATAATTATACCTTAAAGTAGTAGGTTATAACACATTTGTAAGGTAATGTCACCATTGTCTATCTCAACCATCTATTTTCATTCAAAATAAAACAATTTGATCGGATAACATAAAACAGAGAGAAATAGGAAAATTAGCGCAAACAACATAACAATACGAATATCACTTAAAAAAATTAACATCCAAACACTTTAACTGAAACATTAGAGTGAGCGAATTTCACAATTTAAGGAAAAAAGAAAAAGCCTAATATGAGCATAGCAATATAGCAATACAAATATCATTAAAAAAAATACTCATAAAAAATATCCAAACGTACTGGCATGCAAGAAACAGATGCAACATTATTTTCATTATCAAAACATGCCCATGTTCATGTGAAGTTTTTCTACCAAATAGCCCATACAGATACATTATTATTCACTTGTGAAGGCAGAAACTCACAATATCAAATGACCCCATAAACAAAAGGTTGTGAGTAACCATACCAAACCATATGAGGTTTAACAACCACATCGAATTTAAAAATGAACCACTAATAGATGCCAACAATGTGAAGGAGATCCCAAAACCACCGAATCATATTATTACTAAATAATTAGAAGTATACATATGAAAGATGCAAGCCTTTTCATTGATATAAATCATTAGCCATTAGTCACATCTGATTTATGTGTAATCTCCAGACTCCATGCTTTAAGATTTTTTATAATATTAGATATCTAATGTAATCTTTCAAAATGCAACTTGTCATGGAAACACAATTTAAAAGAGAAACCTCTTGGCCTACATATTAGTTAGTAAATTATTTACCAAAAACTTGATTTTTTTTTTTTTAATTGACAAGGAATAAGCATCAAACATGCACATCCATTAACCCCTATAAAAAAGGGTGTACAACTCATTGATCATAGCTCAAATCTTGTCTAAATTGTTTTTTAAAAGCAGTAACTTACCTTGGACTAAAAGTAATTAACACCATGAGAGAGCAAATCCTCTAAAAAAAGTCATAATTAACTGATCACACTATAAGAGTACCGGTCCTTGACAAATAATTGAACAAGGGATAATATCTCTATTTGAATGGACAATCCAAATTAGATAATGAAAATATATATATATATATATATATATATATATATAATTACTAGCTAATGCATTTAATAAAACATTTAATAAAACCTATTTTTATTTCTCTCCAAAAGGAGTTACATTTTTTTGATTAATTACTCACTAATCTGCTAAAACCGTTACACCTTAATATATATATTTTTATTATTTATTTTTTTTTTGATCAGTTACTAAATTAATTCTAAATTTGGTAGCAAAAAAAAAAAATTAAATGTGTACCAGCTAAGAACATGCTCTAATATTGTTATAGAAATTTTTTTGACAAGTGTCAAAAAATTAAATAGATTGTGAACCATGTAGGACAAAGTTTGAGTTCACAACTATTCAATTAAAAAATCATCTCCAATGCACAATGTTGCCTAATTACAATATTATCTACTTGCTAAATAATAAAATTTTAATATGAATTAATTAAAATAATGAAATAATTAAATAATTTGAGAATGGTAACAATATTTCTCTCTCTTCTCCTCATTCTTCTCTACATTTTAGACATTAATTATGTCCACATCATCACAACATTAGTGATCACATTGTACATTGGAGGATAGAAAATTGTGATATTAATAAATGTGTTGATGTGTAATATAATTTACCACTACAACATTGAGCATTAGAGATGCTCTAATGTTGAAACTTAATGTCGATTGGCACATTCATAGCTGTAACCGCTATATTTGGTTGTATTGTTGGAAGAAAAATATGATTGACACATATTTTTTTTCTCTAAAAATCAAAAACACAAATAATTTTTTTTATGTTAATTTTTTTAATATATGTCACAAATATATAAATTATTTTATTCATGCTACTAATGTAAATGTTGCATGGTTAAAACAAAATTTAAATCTCAATTAATTTTGAATGATAAAAATAACTTAAGAAAAAAGTTATAATTTTTATATGATAGAAGTACATGTCTAATTAATAAATAAAAAAAAAAAACGTGTTTTATATCTGTGCATTTGCACAGAAACAAATACTAGTAACACATAAAATTGAAGGTTAAAATGAAATGCTTTCACTATACATAGTTGAACTTTAACTCGAAGTTATTGAATAGAATTGTCAATTCCTTGTTAACAAACAAACACACACACACACACACACACACACACATATATATATACATATACATATAAGCTGTAAAATTAGAATTTGGGTATTGTAAAATATGAAACAAATTTTTAAGATTTTATGAAGTCTGCAAACATTGATAAATTTTTTAAAGAAAAAAAAAAAGACAAAGAGTTTGTCCGGGGAGGTTGCTGAGATGCGCTTTCCGTTTTGTCTAAAAAAAATATTAAGAAATGCATAATGTAGCAAGCACAACAAGTAAACAAAAGAGACAAAAAGAAGGTAAAAAAAAAAAGCCAAATTTGGATATAAAATGTTGTGATTTCTGTCAGTAGTCAGTAGTAAGAAACAAGACTTCAAAAATATCAATTTCTCAACCAGCTAATTTAGTATTGTTACACAATTTTCAACATTCCTTTATGAAGAGATAAAACAACGAAAGAAACAATTTTTATTTTTAAGAGCCAACAGTTATCATATAAACATAACTTAATGAAAACCTATCAACAATATTTCAGTCCAAAAGTAAGTTTTGGCAAACTATGAGAAAAATTGGATTATTGCGACCTAAATGACATATTACCTATCTCTTTATATCATGTTATTGATTTGATACATGACATACAACCTCAACGGCATATAACAGATTACCTATCTCTTTATATCATAACATTGATTTGATACATGAGTTAATATCTATATAAGCAACGGAACAAGAATTAAATTTTCAGCATACATAACTCGATTCAGAGTCACAAAGTTACAAACCTAAATTAATCGAAGTAAATAAACCAAATAATCCAAACAAACAACTTAAAGAAAGAAGATGAAACCTACCATGACTTTCTTCCCATAGATAAGAGCAATCGATAATCACAAACTTTAAAGCAAAACAAATAAATACATGAACAGGAAATAATTAAAGACTTACGGAAATTTTAAAGAAAGAAATGTTCGAAATTCCGCAAAGGATGTGTAAGGGCCAAAGGACTCTTGGAAATTGTCTGAGAAATTGTGGGATAGAACAGAGGGAGGGATTCGATTGATGCGTAATTTGGGAGCTTTTATTTGTGAGAAATTGTGAGAAATTTGTGGGATAGAACGGAAATATCAATTTTTGGTATTCTACTCCCCAAATCTTGTATACAAATTCATTAGTAAGTTTTTTTATTCCAAGACGATGATCGTGGTGGAAGTTTAAGATGGAAAACTTTTGGGAGATATTTTGGTTTGGGCATAAAAAAGTTGATAGTATTGGGTTAAAGCCCAACAATCCCCTACCCACTCACATAAGCCCAATCCAACTTCATCTTTCTTCCCTCTCTACCAAAGTTTCACTTTTTGGAATATATAAAACAGATTCTATAATAATAAACATACAAAAAGTGTGAGGAGGTTTAATCATTGGTCAATATACTATTTATCGTAATAATTACGTACTTATATTATTAAATATCATACTTTTATTTATGTTATTTTTAAAGTCGGTTGGCCTTTTGTTAGGCCGATATACTATCTATATGTTTTTCCACTTATATTCATATACCCCTACCCATTACAAACAAGTTTTTTGTGCTCCTGAGTTTTTCTCATAACACACACACTTTAGACACATGTGCATCTTCGTCCCTTGTCTGATCATGTGGTTCATCTGAACAGAAAGAGATAGTGCGAACCATAGGGATATTACTTTTATGTGCTCTCACATTGTTTTGCAGGTTGATCAACATCTCTCTCTCCCCACAGCTCTTGGGCATACTCACACCAACAAATTGAACAGGCTGCGCGCTGCCCCACCACTTTGCACCATTTCCATTGTCGCTTGTCCAGCACTCACACCCCAGAGACGTTGTTTGGCTGAGACCTAACCCCTTTGGGTTAAGCTAAACACTGATAGATTTTTCGACCGACTAACTGGAGCCGCCGAAGGCAGGGGGCCTGATTATAGACCACATCAAGGATCTTATTACCGCCTTCCACGCCCCTCTTCAAACCTCCTCAAGCTACGACGCAGAGGTTGAGGCGCTTCAAATCAGTCTTCCGATGGCAGCCTCTATGATGCCGACGAGATTGCATTAGTATATCTCGACAATTATGATCGACTTAGGCCTTTAGTTTGATCATTATTATATTTATTACTATTATTTATGTGTGTATTTATTTATATTGTGTATTGGGCTTGTTTCAGTTTGGGCTTTTAAATTTATGTTGTAAATGGGATATTATTTAAACCCGGTAGGTTGGTCATTGTGAGTCATTTATCAGATTTATCAGATTGTTCAGAAAAGAACTGTTCTTCGTTCTTCCTACAATTATCCCATCTCATGCTTCCTGCTGCATCACTCTATCTCTCCTCACATTTGGATAGAGATGGATGTTGTCGTTGTCGCCACCCTTTTGATCTCAGACCACCAGAGCTCGTGGCAGATTCAACACCCGTTCATGCGCATCAGATCCATTTTTTAGTC